GTGCGCTGTCCTGCCCTGACCCACCCCCGCCTGGGCCTGTCCTGTGCAGGTCACAGTGCCGGCCAGGAGCCGGCTGTGAGTCCTTGAGTTCCCACTTTGTGCCAAGAGCTTGTCCGGACTCAGCCCTCGACTTTCTCCGCGTCCCAACAGCGAGGAGCAGGAGGGCCCTTCCCGTCCAAGGAGACAGTGCCTGGAGAGACCCGGGAGAGAGGGCGAGGCGGGCGGGTCCAGTCAGGGTAGAAACCATAGAGGCCTTCTTTTCCTCACGTGTGTGTGTCTGTGTGTGTTGTGTGATGTATGTTTGTGCGTGTCTCTCTGTGTGTGTGTGTTGTGTGATGCACGTGTGTATATATGTGCTGTGTGTGTCCTGCTGTCCCTTCCCGCACTGCACCTGCCCCACCTCCCAGCTGCTGTGCGGGCTCCGGCTCTCCGCTGGTCTGACCGCTCCCCTCCGTTCACGGTGCTCTCTTGGTCCTGAAGCGCCCAGGCTCTGCACCCCTGCTGCGTGCGGGCCCAGCGCCCCTCGCCCTGTGTCCCTTCATGACAGCGTAAGGAAGGACCTGGCACCGTCGTTCAGAGGCCGCCTTGGTGGGGGCCGGCGGTTTCTGGGCTGGGGAGTAGACACAGGTGGCCACCTGCTTTCCCCGCCTGTTGCCCCTCCAGCGGGTGATGGGAGGGGCTATCAGGTGTGCGGGGCATGGGCTGCAGGCCTGGGCTGAGGATGTGAGCACGTGTGCGTGTGCACGTGTGTGCGTGCGTGTGCACACGGGCTGGGCAAGGACCGACTCCTGTCCAGGAGCAGTCGGCTGTGTGAAAAGCTTGCCTTGTGAGACCGCCTCGGGCTCCTGCAGGGCTGTGAGTAAGCTGGCTGCCGGTGGCCTTTGCTTTGTCTCAGTCCCATAGCCTTCAGGCGCGCTGTCCTCTTCGGTGACAGTGGTGGTGACAGTGGTGGCCGCTGCTGCTGTATGTCTTGGCCAAGTCCCCACCTGCAGAGCCTGTGTCGGAATGCCCTGGGGGACAGGCCGTTTCTCAGGACAGCCTGCTCTGCTCTGGGAGGACAGTCAGGGTCGCCAGGCAAGTCTTGCTGGTTAGGGAGGACTGGTTAGGGAGGTTAGGGAGGACTGGTTAGGGAGGACTGGTTTGGGAGGTTAGATTAGGGAGGACTGGTTAGGGAGGTTAGGAAGGACTGGTTAGGGAGGTTAGGGAGGACTGGTTAGGGTGGTTAGGAAGGACTGGTTAGGGAGGTTAGGGAGGACTGGTTAGGGTGGTTAGGGAGGACTGGTTAGGGAGGTTAGGGGCCAACCCACTGCTTATTCCCTGGGCTCACCTCAGAGGAGCTGGAGGAAGTCGGGGCGTAGCAGTGGCACCTGCTCTGGACTGTGGTCCTGGACACTGGCCCTGGCCAGCCTGGGTCACAGCCACGACCCTCCCCTCCCCCCGCTCCCCTGCCCCTTCTGATCATGCGTGTCCATGTGCATAGGTGTGTGCAAGCAGGATTGGTCAGATGTGACTTCCCAGACTCGCTCACAAGGTCCCTGTGTTCGTTCACAGCGGCTTCATCCCACCCCCGAGCCTGTGCCCTGAGAGCTGGCTGGGTGTGGATGTGATGCCATTTTTTGGGGAAAGATCTCACAGCTCGTGCACCAAGGTTCAGAGTGACATCTGTAGGGGGAGGCTGGCTTTTTCGGTTTGTTTTTAAATTTTTTCAATTGATTTTAGATTGATAGGGAGAGAGAGAGAGAGAAAGAAAGAAAAGAGAAACATCCATGTGAGAGGGAAACAGCGATCAGTTGCCTCCTGAATGTGCCCTGACCGGAAATCAGCCCTGTGACCCTTTGTGCACGGGAAGAGCCCCAACCAACCGAGCCACCTGGCCAGGGCAGGGGGGCTGTTTTAACGGACAGACTCACTTCTCAGCTCACTGCTGAGTTTGGGGAAACAGCGTGGGGCGGCTCGTGTTCTGTGGCAGAGCCGTGGCTCAGTGCTTCGTCGGGCAGACCCTCTCCATTTTGGACACATGAGTCTGTTAAAAAAGGTGTTTGAATGTCCCTGCGTCACCCTGCCTAGTCTGGGCTGCCCCCCAGGGTTAACCCACCCATCGTTCCCTGCACCGTGGTTTCCTCGTTTCTCACCAAGTCGTCCGTTTGCAAACCTCTATGCGTGACTGAGTGGGGAAGGCTGACAGCGGAGGGTCGCTGACGGCACACAGGTGCAGGGATGGGGGGCAGGTGGGCAGTGTGCCCCTCCGCCAGGAAGCCCACCCCCTTGTGGGCCCCCCAGGACGGCCGTGCTCTTCGGCTGTCCACTGCAGTTTATTAGGTCCAATGAACCAAGAAGCCGTGCAGCCGGGCTCAGCCTCGAGCCCTCGCTGAATTTGACTGCAGCAGGCGTAGGCGTGGGACTCGTCTTCCCGAAGCCGCTGCTCACCTGCTCCTGGTCACAGCTCAGGTCCCGGCGTGTGGCCCATCCAGAGGCCTGGAGACGGGTCGGCTCCAGGGGTCGGCTCTGGCGCCATTTCTCATTGCTCCCTCTTCTCTTACAGTGTTAAGAGACATCAGCGAGAGGGGGAGGGACCTGGAGCAGATCTTGTCCCAGTACATCACCTTCGTCAAGCCCGCCTTCGAGGAGTTCTGCTTGCCGGTGAGTGCGGTCCCGGTTTGTGTTGTTGAGTCTGGACTGTGACGTATAGTCAGACACACGGGTGTGGGCTGAGGCAGCGCCACCCTCTGGAGGCCCCGGGAAGGGCGGCCTCTGGTGCTTTGCAGCCCTCACGTTGGGGCCTTGGGTTGGTGCTGCTCAGTCCCGGGCGGCCTACGTCTCGTGGCCAGGCTCCTGTGTGAGCGCTTCCTTGAAGGCGTGTCACAGCTCCGGGCAGCCTCTGCTGTGGGCACCCGGGAAGGTCCCTGGTGGGTGGGGTGTGCGGCAGGGTGGGGGGGCGGGGCTCCGCTGCAGGGTCTCCCCTCTGACCCTCCTTGGTCACTCAGCCCAGCCTGTGCGAGCTCCTCTCGGCCCGATGCGTCCCTGTCGGGAAGGGAGCTGTGCTGGGGGGGCATCCCCGCCCTGGCACAGCCCCGGGAGCCTGGCAGTGAGGAGGCTTTCCGAGCAGGAAGGTCAGGGCAGGGGGCGTCCTCGGCTTCTTGGGGAGACTGTGAATGCCACCGGACCGGGCGCCCTGCGTGAGGAAGGGGACTCTGCGTGTCGCCTCCAGGCTGACCGAGCCCTGGGCTAGCTCCCTAAGGGTATATGATTCAGCTTGAGGGGGGAGTGGGTGGGGCTCGGCCTGGTCTGGGTGGTCCCCCGGGCCTGGGGGCTGGGAGGATGTTGAGCAGAGGCACAGAGCGAGGGCCAGGTCTTCGCTCCTTTCCTGGAGAGTCAGCTTCCCGGCTGCCTGCGTGCCTCCCGTCTGTTAGGAACAGGTCTTGCGTCAGACGGACTTGACTTTGTTTCCGATCCGGTTAGGCAGGCTCTGAGTCAGCAGGAGTAACCTTGAGGATTGGGTTTCAGAGTTAGGTTTCTGGGAAGAGGGCAGAGCGGCCGAGCAGCCGTGAAATTCTATCCGTCTGTCCGTCCATCCCTCTGCCTGAGGACTCCTGCTCTTGTTCACGTAATGAGAGAGCAAACTAAATTTATTATTGGATATGAATTAGAGCTAACTGGCAATTTTCTGCCAACTGACTTAGTTGTGAGCTCAGAATTCGGCACAAACACTTTCTGGGTGGTTGCTGCTGGTTCCCACGGCCCAGCCACTGGTGCCCAGAGAGATCAGGTCGCTCCCAGGTGAGCCCGGAGCTCGGACCCGATGGTCTGCCCGGGTCAGGCCGGGTTACCGTTCTAGTCTGGAGAGGCTCATGTTTATGTGGTCTCACCCTAAACCTCGGTTATACACTCAGACACAGTTCTTTGGAAAATGGGCCACAAAATCTCAGTAAGTTAAATAAAAAAAGGATTTTGTGCTAATTGTACCCTTTTAACAAAATGTATAGCCCAGCCAGCGTGGCTTAGTGGTTGAGTGTTGACCTATGAACCAGGAGGTCACGGTTTGATTCGCAGTTGGGGCACATGTCCAGGTTGTGGGCTCCGTCCCCGATGTGGGGCGTGCAGGAGGCAGCCGATCAATGACTCATTATTAATGCTTTTGACTCTCCCTTCCTCTCTGAAATCAATTAAAACATATTTTTAAAAGAAGTGACCTCCCGGGCCCCATCTTCAGAGGTCTTTTCTGCGTTCACCTCGCGCTGCCGGCTGCGGAGGTTCCAGGTGGATTGCTCCCCTGAAGTTGGGGTTTCACTAATTCACACTTTTCTTGGGGGTGAAGAAGCAATTACAGATTTGGTTTCAAAGACCACGTTCCTCCTGCAGGTTGTAAACTGAAACCATGTGGAATGTTCAAATGTGAACTTGTAAAGCTGATTGTGATTGATTAATAGATTGATTTTAGAGAGAGAGGAAGGGGGGGAGAGATAGAATGATTTGTTGTTCCACTGATTTATGCATTCATCGGTTGGTTTTTGTATGTGCCCTGACCAGAGATTGAATACGCAACCCACTGAGTAGCTACCCGGCCGGGCTGATTTATTATTATATTTTAGATAAAGCGGGTAAAAAACATTATGTCCGAAGCCTGACGCCGCTGCCCTCTGGGTTAGGTGGAGAGACAGCCACCCCTTCCCCACAGTCCCCAGGGCGGCTTGGGCCGGTTTCTCTCTGAACCCCTCTTAGTTCTAAATACCTTTTTCCGCAGACAAAGAAATACGCGGATGTGATCATTCCGAGAGGTGTAGACAATCTCGGTGAGTCCGCGGGTGTCGTGCTTTGGGGCGGGGCAGGGCGACCAAACAAGGTCCTGCGGGGTGGCGGACCCCGGAAAGGAATGCCCACCTGCCCGGCAGCTGTGGGCACCGGCCCTGTGTTATGCACGTGTGAAGGTGGGCACACATGTGGACTGTTATTCCCTGGCCAGGATCAGAGGTGTGGAGAAACCCTGTCTTCTCATTCTCTTATCATTGATTTTCTCCATTTAAAACATTTAGTTCGTTTGCTGAGACTTTTCGCTGTCTGCCTCTTGTCGTCCTCAGCCTGTCTTTCTCAGACAGTGACCTTTGTAGAACGCCTGCCACCTGGGTTTGTCTGGGTCCCCAGGGCGGGGCTGGATTGGCACGACCAGGACAGTGCCCGGAAGACGTGTTCTTTGCGTGTCACCCCAGAAAGCACTTGGTGCTTCTGTTTTTGAAGTTAGTTAATCATTTACATAATTGTTTCTCATGGTGAGAAGAGAGTCCTGTGTTGGATCGTCATTGGAGGAGAGGGTCTTCCGTGGGTCCCTGGGTTTGGGACGGGTCACAGCCGGTGGTGCCGTGGAGAAGGCCCGCCCTCACGCCTGCAGACGGGGTCGGGCTGATTGCCTTGCCGCCGCCGTGACTGACCACCTCAGAAGAAGCCCGCGTATTCAGGGCTTCCCGTGTCCGGGCATAGCCTGTCTTCCTCTGGGACCCTCCAGGGGGTCACGTCAGCCCCTTGGAGGGCATGGGGAGGCGGTTCCCTCCACCCCGGGTGCGTCCCTAACCGCTGCCCGTCTCTGCCCCCCAGTGGCCATCAACCTCATCGTGCAGCACATCCAGGACATTCTCAACGGAGGGCCGTCCAAGCGGCAGACCAACGGCTATCTCAACGGCTGCACGCCCGCACGCCAGAGGCAGGCCTCCGAGCCCAGCAGCCGGCCGCACCGACCCGCCCCGAGCCCTGCCCCGCTCCCGGGCTCGGCGGCGGCAGGGGCTCGGCCGTCTGTACAGACGGTTTCCTGTGACTCTGCTCATTTAAGAAAACAACACGGAAAAGAAATGCCTTTGATCTTGAAACGGAACTTGACCCCGAGCTTACACGACGAACTGTGCCAACTACCACTGGCGATGCCTAATCATGCCCACCTGTACCAGTTACCAATATACGCGCATATATAAAAGGATCTATTTTTGTGTAAATGTACAAAATCCTGTAAAGCTGTTTGCTGCTGAGTGTTTGCAGGAGGGCCCGCGCTGAGCTTCCCCGGGGCAGGTGGCCCCCGGCGTCCAGGCGGGCAGCTGGCCTGTGAGGTGGGAGCACGGGGCTCGTGGCCCACGCTGGGCACCTGCCGAATGCACTGCTTGGAGCTGCAGCTTACTGACATGTCGAGGAGAGAGACTTCTTTTTCTTTTGAGTTGAAATTAGGCAAGACCTCACCCGAAAAATCAAACTCAGGGAAGGGGCCCTTTCCAACGGCCCACCCTCCGCCCACCCCTGGCTGCTCGGGTGGCGGCGTGACGCCTCCCTCACTCCCCCGTGATTCGGTCTCCAGAGCCAGAGCTGCCTGTCCCTCGTCCCTGGTGGGGATCTGACTCCCAGGGAGTTTTGGACCAGACTCCCCAGGCTTTTCCCAGCCTGAGGGGCGCACAGCGGTCCCTTGCAATCCAGGTGCTGAAGAGACTTCTGCTGGCAGAAGGGCAGCTGGCAGCCCCTCGCAGGGTGGTGACAGAGCTCTGCCCGAGCAGGGCACAGTGGCTTTGTCCCCGAGATGCGGGGATTGGCAGTGAGATGGGGTGGCACGCATCTTAGGCAGCGTCATCGCTGGCGGCATCACGGATGGGCTGCCTTTCGGGTGTGGCAGCGCTGGGCGTGCGGGGAGGCGGGAAATGGCATTTAGGTCCTAAGCTGGAGGCTCGGGGTGAAAGGCTTGGAGTGGAGAATTCCCTCTTCCCCGGGGGCTTCCTCTTGGCGAATATGAGTAGCTTTGGAAGAAGCAGGTTCTTGGACTCTGGCGGGAGGGGGTGCAAGAAGTGGGGGGAACAGTTGAAGTCTGATTAGAGTCCGCGCCCCGGCCTGTAACTGCCCGAGACAGCCTCCCTTTCTCAGTTGCCACACCCTCAGCTTGTCCTCCACGGCCTGCCCTGCCTGTGTGTTCTGGGGGGGCCCTGCCCTGCCCTTCCCGATGCTGCCGAGCCCATCGGAGCCATTCAGGTGCATCTGCCACGTGCCCCGCGAGCACCATCCATGTTGACCCCCCGCTTTTTTGGACCTTATTTGACTCTAACTCTGTTTTGCTGTTTCAAACCTAAACCCCAAAAGAGCTTTGCCGCCCCTGAGACAGTGGGGAGACGTGTCACAGGCCTGAGGGTGCTCCTGATCCTGCAGCCGCCTGGTGGGGCACGGGCTCTGAGGGCTCCAGGCGGGGTGCTGGGTTTCAGAATCAGTGTTCATTACCTTTCCCATCCTGCCTTGCACGGCTCTGAGGTGGAGGGTGGAGGGCAGGCCTGGGTTGGGGTCCTCCTGCCCTGGGGCCTGTGTGCTCCGGGAGGCCCGCCCCTGTGCCGGAGCCCCGCCCTGTCCGTCAGCGGGTAGCACCCTCAACTTTACTTGAAGCTCCCAGGTGCCAAACCATTTAGTGCCTTGGCTGTGGGTCCCCCTGCCTCGGAAGGTGGGCTTTCTCATCTCAGCCTTGACTACGTAGCCGCCTCATCCACCCGTGGTGTGGGTGCTAAGCCGCTGTGGGCTGCCCGGCCTCCTGGTAAAACCATCTCCAGTTCTCAGTGGCTCTGCTGGGGACGCTGACCATGGCCCGGTTCTGGGAACCCTGTGTCCTGGGCCAGGAAAGGGGCCGCCCTGCCGAGCCCGGCATTTCGCCAACTGAGGCTGAACTTGAGCTTCTGTAGGACAATCTTGGGCTGGCGTTCGAGAGCCGCTTCTCCCTCTGCACGCCCTCCCACGCATTGTCCGCAGACCAGGCGCGTGGGAAACGGGCATGAAGCCACGGCCGCCTGCGCGAAGGCCTGGCCCGCACCCCCTCAGGCTCACGGAGCTCCTGCTGCGGCCTCCGTGGGCAGCCCGGCCAGTGGGGGCAGAGGAGGGGGAGGTGTGAGGAAGCGCAGGTGCTGACCTCGGTGTCCTGTGGGAGTGGGTGGCGTGGCCCTGGGAGGCCACAGGAGCTCGGAGGCCGAGGGTGGTGACGGGAGGGTCTCCAGCGCCCCCTTTAGAACAGCGGCCCTGCAGAGCCGCTCTGCTCCGCTCCTGCTGCATGGCCCCTGGCTTCCTCTCCCCTGGGCTCAATTGGACACTTGTCTGGGTGCCAGTGGGTCACCAGCCTCAGGCCACTGGGTCAGGCTGCAGGCAGGTGGGGAGGGGGAGGGGCTGGAGCCCAGCTGGTGGAGGGTCACCCGAGTGCTGGGTTTGGCGGGGGAGGGGGCCGGCTCTGCCCTTCACCCCGTCCTCTGGGTGGTGGACAAGGGAGGGCGTCGCTGGGCTGAGTGGAGCTCAGAGCCCCTTTGATCTCTAGCCCTGCCTCCCTCGCACGTGGGCAGGTGGCAGGTGTGGCAGGGCCTCCTCACTGCTCTTCCGGTGGCGGAGCCCAGCTGGGGAGGGACTTGGGCCTTTTTCTTTGAGACGCTTGCTCCCCGCTCTGCCTCCTAACCGGGTCTCAATTGTTCAGTTACAGGAATGGCCACATGCAATGTACTTAGTTGTAAATAAAGACTGAACAGAAAGCCAGCTGTGCCTTCCTGTGGTGCTTGGGAGGCGGGGGCGATGGAAGAGTGAGGGGCCACGGGAGGTGGGGGCAATGGGAGGGTGAGGGGCCACGGGAGGTGGGGGGCAATGGGAGCGTGAGGGGCCACGGGAGGTGGGGGGCAATGGGAGCGTGAGGGGCCACGGGAGGTGGGGGGCAATGGGAGCGTGAGGGGCCACGGGAGGTGGGGGGCAATGGGAGCGTGAGGGGCCACGGGAGGTGGGGGGCAATGGGAGCGTGAGGGGCCACGGGAGGTGGGGGGCAATGGGAGCGTGAGGGGCCACGGGAGGTGGGGGGCAATGGGAGCGTGAGGGGCCACGGGAGGTGGGGGGCAATGGGAGCGTGAGGGGCCACGGGAGGTGGGGGGCAATGGGAGCGTGAGGGGCCACGGGAGGTGGGGGGCAATGGGAGCGTGAGGGGCCACGGGAGGTGGGGGGCAATGGGAGCGTGAGGGGCCACGGGAGGTGGGGGGCAATGGGAGCGTGAGGGGCCACGGGAGGCCGGGGCGATGGGAGGGTGAGGAGGTGATAGGAGGGTTCGGGGGGAGGGGATGGGAGGCAGAGGCAGTGGGAGGGCAGCGCCTAGCCTTTGCAGGTGGTCACGGCTACGCACGCTGTGGCTCAGCCTCGCAGTCCGGCCTGGACCCTGGTGATTTGCGGGCATGTGGGCATTTCTCCTTTGCCCCTGAAAGCGACTATGGTTTCCAGAGGCGTCTGTGCCCCGGGCCTCTGGCTCAGCTCCCTCCGGTCCTGTCACTGCTTTCTCGGGGCCAGTCACCACCCTTCCTCAGCCTCCACCACCAGCACCCACACACCGCCTCCCAAGTTGGTTTCCACTGGCAGTGGGACACCCCGGTGGGCGCCACGTGTGAGCGTCCTGAAGGAGCGCGTAGGCGTGACTGAGCTCCGAGGCCAGGCCCTGCAGGTGGCCACATGTCCCTGTTTGCAAAAGACCTCCATCACTCACACCCAGGTTTTACAATAATGGGCTCTGTGCTCTGAGGAGCCGCCTGGCCCCCACAACCTCCCTGCTGCTCTCAGCTCCCGGCACCCCTGCGCGCCCGGCCCCGAGGCACAAGGGACCCTCAGTGTGCGTCTGCCCCTAACAGCCACCTGTTCCCCTGACTGCACCCCATATAGGACCCGGCAGAACCACAGGAGCTCTCCTGGGGAGGCCCACCCTCAGGGCTGCTGCGGAGTCTGAGCTGGCAGCAGCCTGACCGGGCATCGTGAGTTACCGACAGGTGGCTGGCGGGTGTCACAGGTGGTGGTTGTGCGGCTGGTTCAGCTGATCCTGCTCCTCTGCATTGCTCTCTTCTCTGTCCTGGACCACCTCTGTCCACTGACCACCTCTGCCCTGGACCACCTCTGTCCTGGACCACTCCTGTCCTCGGACCACCTCTGTCCTGGACCACCTCTGTCCTCTGACCACCCCTGTCCTGGACCACCTCTGTCCTGGACCACCACTGTCCTCTGACCACCACTGTCCTGGACCATCTCTGTCCTCTGACCACCTCTGTCCTGGACCACCTCTGCCCTGGACCACCTCCAGCTGGAGGCTTTGCCTGGGACTCAATTCATTGATCAGAAGTCAGTCTGCTCCTGTGCGTTGGGGGGCAAAGTGCAGGCCATGAGGCTCTTGGGCAGATTTGTTGCTCTTGCCACCCTGTCAGCACGTCCTCTGCGCCAGCCTCTGTGGCCAGGAGACAGCCTGGGAAGTGGGGAGTCCGCGTGGGAGGACGGGGCCAGGGAGGCAGGTTTCTATCCTCTGGTGCTGAGGAGCATTAATTTCCATTTAAAGCAGTTTAAACTGATGGTTTTCTAAAACCCACCTGCTGGGGACTGGAAATACTGGGGGGTGGGGGGACTTGGGAAAGTATTTGACTGTCTAACCCTTATGTACATCGGAAACGAATCCAAAATAGAACTGAACGTAAACTGTAATGAAAGAATATTAATTAAAAAATTAGAAATTAAGCCCTTGCCGGTTTTTGATTCCCAGTCAAGGGCATGTACCTGGGTTACAGGTTCAATCCCTGGTCCTGGTTGGGACTCATGGGGGATGCAGCCAATTGCTGTGTCTCTTGAATCTATGTCTCTCTCTCCCCCTCCCTCCCTTCCTTCCACTCTCCAAAAATTCAATGGAGAAAAAACTATCCTCGGGTGAGGGTTAAAATAAGTAAGTAAAGTAATAATTATGGAGAAAAAACTATGCTTGGGTGAGGGTTAAAATAAGTAAGTAAAGTAATAATTATGGAGAAAAAACTATGCTCGGGTGAGGATTAAAATAAGTAAGTAAAGTAATAATTAAAAACACCTGCTAGCCCTGATCGGTTTGGCTCAGTGGATACAGCGTCGGCCTGCGGACTGAACGGTTCCAGGTTCGATTCCGGTCAAGGGCATGCACCTTGGCTGCGGGCGGAGGTGGTCCAGGACGGAGGTGGTCCAGGACGGGGGTGTGCAGGAGGCAGCCGATCGATGTTTCTAACTCTATCCCTCACCCTTCCTCTCTGAAAAAAAATCAAAATATATTAAAAAATTAAAAAATAGAAACACCTGCTAAATCTTGGGCTGTGCCTCTGTGTGTGTGTGTGTGTGTGTGTGTGTGTGTGTGTGAGGTGAAGCTGTGAATTAAAATAACATAGAATAGTCAATTTGGTAAATCTTGGGCTGTGCCTCTGTGTGTGTGTGTGTGTGTGTGTGTGTGTGTGTGAGGTGAAGCTGTGAATTAAAATAACATCGAATAGCCAAGGCATCAATTTGGTAAGATTAAACCCAGACATGTATTCTCCGTTAAGTGAATGGAGGTGAGAACAGGAAATCGTGCCTGACAGGCACTCATTCTTCATGCATTCCCCTTTCACACCGAGGACTTGTTTGGACCGGATCCGTGGTCCTAGTTCAGGGCCAGGATGAAAGTGGCCTGGGGTCTGGGGCAGCGCGCTCCCTGCCGACTGTCCCGGGCCAGGGAAAGCCAGGGCCAGGGAAAGCCAGCGCAGCCTCGCCTAGAAGCTCACGGTGGGATGTTATGCTGAAAAGCCTGGGACTCTCATGCGAGGCAATTTGCTTCAGATATTTCAAGATTCCTCTTTTCAGTTCCTGACATTTCCAGTGTTCTCTGCAGTGTTCATGCTGGACTTTTCCAGCCGCCAGTAAACCTTTCACGCTGTCTCCTCTGATCCTTAAATCGGTCCTGAGAAGTATGCCAGGAATGCAGTCACTCCAGCTTTAAGGGGAGGGAATGGATTTACCCCCAAACTGTGGGAGGTGGGCTGGGGCTGAGGCGGTGGTGGTGGTGGTGCGTGTCTGCCCCTTAGTGGTGGCTTTGGGTCTCAGCAGGAGGGTTGGGGGCGGGGGGCGTGGAGCCGGGCTGATGGCATTGGCTTGGCGACCCGGGCTAGGAGAGCTGTCCTCGGGAGTCTAAATACGATGTGATCTCCTTTTTGCTTTGCTTTTTGTTTTCCTGGAAAATCCTTATGAAAGCCTTCACTCAGGCCCATAGGAGCTGACCCCCAGCTATAGGAGTGGCCCCTCGTCACTGGGGCTTGTGGACGCTCACCGGGACCCGGTCCTGAGAATTCTGAGTCTGTATGTCTAGGGAGAGAACCTGTCACAGCAAACGGTGCAGGTGAGTCCAGTGCACAGGCAGAGGTGGGAGCCAGGGCCTGGGGTTTCCATTCAGATCCGAGGTGTCCACTGGGCTGGGGGCAGCTTCTCCCAGAAATGCTGCCCAGACTGTCCCCAGCTCTTCCCGGCCTAAAACTTCTTCCTATGCAGTTCATGCTTTTTGATGCTGTTACCTGAAGATATTTTTCCCATTGATTTGTAAAGAGAGTAGAGGGCGGGAGAGAGAGAGGGAGGGAGAGAGAGAAACATTGATCTGAGAGAGGCACATTGATCCGTTGCTTCCTGCAGTTCCCCAGTTCAGGCCGGGGCTGGAATCAAAATCGCAACCCTTGACTGCGGAATCGAACCCAAGACCCTCCGTGCGTGGGCCCAAACTAAATTTATTATTGGACATAAATTAGAGTTAACTGCCAACTTTCTGCCATTTAACTAGGTTGTGAGCTCAGAAGTCTGCACAAACCTCCCGTTTAACCCAACGTTTTTGAGATTTCTGTGTTTACTTTTATCGTCTCTATAGCTTGGAAATGACACATTATGTTTTCCTGTAGTGACTATCTTTTCAAGTTAATGTGCACACTTGACAAATCTCTAATCTCCTCCCAGGCTAGATAAGAGCTTTAGAAGGCTTTAATCACCACGCTGTCCACCTTACCCATTAGAGTTGCTACGTATTTTACTCGTTCCACTTAGCTTTTATATTTTGTAAGCTAATTATAACTATTGCTTTAAAAATAATCATTTATGCTGTGTGTGTATAGCTTCAGGTAGACTTTCACCGGTGCCTTTGTTCACTATTTCACTTGGCGCTTTCTTCCTTCTGGATTCAGTTCTCATTCTCACCAGCATTCTTCACTGATTCTTTCACAGCGGGGTTAGTGGTGCGGTCTTTGTTGAAAATGTCCTTAGGCGCCTTCCCTTTTGAATGATAATTTAGCTGTGTATTCTTTCAACATTTTGAGTTTTTTTTCTGCTTTCTTTTATCTTTTAAAAATAAAGACTCCTCTTTGTCTTTGATGTTCTGCAGTTTGCCATGAAGTGCTGAAACATGGGTTTATTTGCAATTATCCACAGGTGCTTCCCAGCTGGTGAGGTCTGTGTGTTTCATTTGTTCTGGAAAATTCACAGCGATTCTCCTTTCTGATGTTGCCTCCTGACCCTGCGCTCTGTGCTCTCCCTCGAGAGCTGTAGGTACGTCTATGCACGACGCTTTCTTCTCTCCTCCAGGTCTCTTCCCCTCACTTCCTCTCCATCTTAACTTCTCAAGGTGACATGTTTGCAAAGTTTCACTTATTGTCTCTTCTGCTGCCCAAAACTCACTCATCAAGTGTCCAATTTCATTGACCATATTTATAGCTTTA